AAGCATCATGGCTTCACTCAATCATTTCGATACACAGCCATGCCAGCTAGTAGGTTACAGAGCAGATGTAACTTTCAAGACAGATAGGCCCCTCCCATGTGACGCTTATATATTGTCGATATGAAAATTTGCATTTGATATTGCAAGCATATCTTGACATTTTTAGAAATTTTCTAATGGATACTAAGGCCTCATTGTAGGCTGATCTGGGTACAATCCAGCGGCATCGTGAGGACTAATCATTTTAGTGTGAAAAGTGTCGCTATCCGTTAACTCATCTTAAACTACCTAGAGGGATAAAAGTTTTTATACGAGAATTATGGATAACTTCGATTTATTCATTTGGTTAGAATTTATTACTAGACCTTCAGATGGACGAAATGTGTCCATATGCTTGAATCGTCTTTAAGTGTATGTAAAATTGTTTTGACTCACTTTAAGTGATTTTTATCATTCATTCTATAAGTGTTAAAATGTATATGCCTGACTTGTCTTGAACGTCACATTTTTATAACGACCTAATGGTAACATCTCGAAGATATACATTGCACCACCTGGGTTCGATTTCCGTCGGGCTTGTTGATGAGACCCAGTCGAAGTCAAAACTGCAGTCCGGCCTGTGTGAGAATAGCCTTATGGAGGCAAGGTTAAGTGACATCGAGAAGCCTACCTAGGACATTGTGCTAACAATTCAAATATCAGTCCCTTGGCACTTGTTACCTGGGGGGAATATAGTTTTTCGTAAGAACCACTTATAAGGTCACTACCAACAGCTTCGTACATTTCGCTTCCATAGAATACAATTAGTCTTTTTCTTTTACTCCGTAGGAAAACAGGTTTTTCAAAGGCCTAAAAATTATCTGTGGATTTTAATTAAAATCTTGGATCAGCCTAATAATTCGAGGGTTGATCGTGGAATTTCTCACAATGCAGTAACTTGGCCTCATGGGGCCATTACATTTCACACTCACCAAAGCTGGTCTCCACTTTTAAGTTCGCATTAGCACCTCAGCTTTCACTCTTCAATGCATTGGACTTTGTAATTTATCTTTTTATGGAGGCTTAAATTTAGTCTTAATACCCTACATCACTGACAACCCTTTCGTTTTTATCTATGATTACTTTGCTCCTGAGACAATCTCTAACACTAATAGAGGCTGTATTTATTCCAGGTGATGAGAGACTGATGGTTGACTTTTCCCATCAATGCTATGAGTAGGCGTCACGTTTCCATTGAATTTCTCATGGCCTTGTTTCACAAAGTGTATTCCCATATCATTGTGCGAAAATACAACTATTACTTTACGCGACCTAGGGTGAATACAATCCTTATTTAAGATCTGGTAGTTGTCTCCTACAATACTTAGCCTTTAGCCAGACATTCCACTTTACTCACAACCTATGACTGGTCTGACAACTGTCATTTCTGGCCACCCATTGCTAGAAAGTTGACTTAATGCATTTATAGAACTGGGTTGACCTCGTTGTTGCAACTTTTTTATTGTTAGGAG